TATCACCCAAATGAGATGCCAGTCTCATTTCCTGAGTTCACAGCAAGATGACTTACATCATGAACTTCTTCCACTGAAATATATGCTTCTGTGGGTAGCCCCAGGTCCTTTGGCTTCACATCAATAATGACCAATACCTGGCAAAGAAACACAACTTAGCCATCTACATTACATTTCACACAAAAGGGATAATTTCAGCCACTCTTGTGATGGTTACTAAAGCTATTTCATTCATTCAATCAGAAATGAGACAAAATATTAAGCAAAAATGAATTTATATTTCAAATTATTCCATTGTTTGCTCACTCTGTATTTCCCTCCATGAAAAAGCTGAGGTCATAGAATGTGGTTGTTGAGCACAAGGAAATCAGAGTTAAGATGGCAAAAATTTCAATCCCCATCTCAGAATATATTAAGCACTGCAAACCTCTGTGTTCTTGTTTATAAAGAGAATATACAGTTACCGAAAGTATTGTCAGTCACATACCAGGTACTTAGCAGGCATGTGTTTACTAAATCCATAAGGCTACAGAATACTGCACAGAATGATAACAATCAACACAACAAACTTACAGAGAAAAGCGCAGTGAACTGACTCACTACCCAAATCTATCTTCAGATGCTCCTGAATTGGCTGGCAAAGAATATCATTCAAGAGTTTTAAAAAGAGAACACTTACTGAGTTAGGGCAGTATCTTTTCATAAGTTCATTGATGGCAATGTCATTCTTATGTAGTTTAGGGCCTGTGTGGTACCATCCAACTATTCTTTCTCTGGCTGGGAAGAAAAAACTAGGTTTTAGTTGTTTCATCACCATCTATACAATTTGCTTACAAGTTATGTCCTTTACCTTTTTGAAATTCCAGACATCTATTTTAAACCTTGAAATTAAACTTATGAAATCTAAAACTCAAAAACAGAATTTTCAAAAAATAGGCAGTGTGTGACCTAGAGATATCTATATCCTCGACTAGTTTACGAGACCAGTCATTCATGAAACAACTAGAGAACAATTCCAAGGCAATATATAAGCAAATGCAAGTTCATGTCACATATGCAATAACTGCAGAGTTGTGGGAATAAAAATTTCCAAAGCAATGTGGCTGCTGGGATGAAATAACATGAAAGTGACATATGTGAGAGAGGTATTTATGCTGGCTGGTGGTATCAAATCCCCTGGGGGCAGGTGATGTGATAGCCCTCGCTTTTCTGATGAAATCAGAGGACTATCTCCCAACCTCCTGCTCAATCCTAGTACACAACCTGGCCATAAATTACTATTGTGGTTTTTCATTACTCTACTTCAACTTCATTGCTCTACTATCACCAATCTTACTTAAGTTTAGCTAACTGAAAGGGCCCTTGACATTAAACAAATAGATTAAGAAAATATACATATACACGCATACATAAGTCAACATCATGCCATAACACCTTCTTAGAAACACTTACCATTAACCTTCTTAAACATTCCATACATGTTTTCCAAATAATCATGATCTAAGAACCAGACAGAATCATCTTTGTCATCTTCATCAAAGGGGACTAGACAGAAAAAAATTAAGATTTAATTTAGGTGCTAGATAGGAATCCAGAATACAAGTCACAGTGAATAGATTGGATTATTTTTACATGTTTGATTTGTCCAAAACAGCATTAAATTTTATTTTATTTAGTCACCCTCAGTAAAAAAAATCTAGATTTTTTTTCAGCTATCTTCAAAAAACTGTTAAGACCTGGCAATTACTGGGTAAAGCCTATAAAAAGGACACATACTCTTCAGTTTTAAGGCCCATCCTTTCCCAGTATTTCTCATTTGGCAAACTGCCTCACTGGCTGGTTCTTTTAGACACTAGAGTTAGTGACTTCTAGTCCAGAGGTCATACCAGTATTTGTTGTTGCTTCTTTGATCATAAAAAAGCACATGTAGTACTGGGCATGGTGGCACAAAGCTATAACCTCAGCTACTTGGGAGGGTGGGGCAAGAAGACTGTAAATTCAAAGGAGGACTGAGTAACTTAGCAAGATCCTTTCTCACAATAAAAATAAAGGGGCAAGGGATGTACTTCAGTGGTACAGTGCTTGCCTTGCATGTGTGAGGCCCTATGTTCAATTCCCAGTACTGCAAACAAACAAACAAAACAACAACAAAAACAATAATATATGGAACATAAAAGTAAAGTTCTTGTAAGGATTCACGGTAAAGTAAAAGGTTAAAGGTCTCTGTATCTCCTCTTGCTCTACCCATGGCCAGGGTTAAAAAGTTTTGTACAGGGGCTGACAGACTACATGGTCTGTTCTAATGGAATACAGCTACATTTGTTTGTTTACACATACTCTGTAGATACTTTATTTTTTTTATTTATTTTTTAGTTACGGGCGGACATAGCATCATTGTTTGTATGTGGTGCTGAGGATCGAACCCGGGCTGCACGCATGCCAGGCGAGCGCGCTACCGCTTGAGCCACATCCCCAGCCCCCTCTGTAGATACTTTTGAACTTCAACAGAAGGAAGAGCAGTTGAAATGAAGACCACAAAGCTTGCAAGTTAAAATATTTAGTGGTCTGGCCTAAAGTGTAGCCTTTGGTCTAGTTCAGCATTATGAAATAGAATCTCAGGGCTGTAATACACAATTGTAATAAGTATTTATTTTGAAAAGTAAATCGACATTTTAATGATGCTCAGAAAAATTTAAACTTTATCTTTTACCTGCAAAACTGTTGGACACATCAAGTACTTTCTTTTGCCATGACCCCAAAAGCACACCAACAACGCGCTTCTGGTTTCCAACCTTGCCGATTCTAAATGAGAAAACAGGTGGTCAGTCTGCACAGACATACAGTTACAGGACCCCAATAGTTAAGATAGTTAATGGCAAATATCAACAGTTCAGATACAATTTGGTTTACTTCATAATTATTCTCTCTAAACAAATGTAATAACATTAGATTAGTATGCAATACTAAATATAAGGAGTAATTCATAAACTTTTGAGCTTTTACTTACCATCGACTGCAAAGTAACTTATGCTTGGAAAAATTTAAACTTTATTTTTTTCTTTACAATTCTCCTATGCGCCTCTGAACTTTCCTCATCTTCTCTATCCTGAAATATCTTCAGGAATAAAAATGCTAAAGTAGTACCGGTATTGTGGCCTGGGTTCTACATTGCAAATTTTCTGGAATGTTCCCCCATGCCTACAAGCCCCAGTAGATTAGATTTACTTTATTCTTTGTAAAGAATAGGTGCTTATAAAGTGATTTCCAAACAAAGGCTTGAGTGTGCTACTTGTGGCCTCTCTTGACTGGTGTAGTGGGGAGAAGTCAGAAGTGAGCTGGTGACTAATCACAACGAGAAGAGGACTGAATGAGTTAGATTTTACTTTAGAATCTCTAAATCCATTTCAAACCTCCTCAGTGATTTTCTAAGAAGCTACAAGTGTATCACTCTTCAAGAATTCTTTAACCATTAGTAAATGTTAAGGCACAACACAACTCAACACTAAAGAAAGACAGAAGCCTACAAAATGAATTACATTTCATAAACAGTTGGTAGTTTCACATTGCTTTAACTGCAGTATTTTTCTTAACATACAGTTTGGTAAACCTATCAGTAATAAGTTTGGATCAAAGTTAAGGATTCTGTATTTCTGGTGGCTCTTATACTTTCTGAAGCTGTAAACACTTCAAAGTTGAGTTTCCACACTTCAAGGGAAACTTCCACTGGCTTTCTTTGGGTCTACAAAAATCCATTAAAAAACAACAAAAAACTTTACATGTGTTATTTGGCACAGCAGCTAGCAGCATCTGCCTGACCTATGCTCTTAACCAAGTGTCTCATGGGAATAAAACAGTAATTACCGTACAGTAGAAAAGTCCACATATCCTGTTAGGCTGAGGCTTCAAGCAATGGAACTGAAGTGGGTTTTGTAAACCTCATTAAGTCCTGAGTTCGTGTTTGGTTCAATTAGTCGTACAAAGCAGGAAAATGGGCACACGGTAACCAAGACTTTACAGCAGATGCTCTCAACTGAGTCTTTCCATTGCTAATTAATTATCTTGTAAAATTTCTGAACGTGTGCAACAGGTCCAGCAGGATAGACAGCTCTAAAAAAGTAAAGGTGGCAGGCACTGGGAGCTTACCAAGTGATCTGTGGGATGTTTTCTCACCTTATTTATTAATGCTCCATCTCTAACTGATCTCGTTGTTCAAAGAGAAACTGACACCTCGTCTACATTTTAAGATAGCATCAAACCAAATTCCCACCTAGAAAATTTCAGGGGTTATCACCACCGCCCATCCAGGATGCTATTCCGGATGCGAGAAAAGAATTCCGGTGGCAGCTCTCAGCGGCTCAGAAGCGCGGGGCTGAAGCGCTTACTAGGACACCAGGTCTTTTTGTTGAAAAGGGATGGGCGAGGTGACGGATAGGCACGAGCCTGGAGGCAGGCGGTCAGTGCCAACCGAAGCCTGCCCTTTCCTCCATACTCTAGCACCATCCAGCTTTCGTTGAAAGGAACAGGCAGCCCGGGCCCCCGAGTGGCGGCGGGGACGTGGAGCCGGGTCACTCTGGCTTCATGAACCGAGGCTGGTCTGCGGCCGTCTCACCTGCGTCCCCAGCCTGGCCGCGGCCGCCGCGCTGTCCCCAGCGTGCCGGTGACTCAGCAGCCCCAGCTCTGCCGGCCCCGCTAGGCCGCCCCGGGCCGTCCACTCACCGGTTGAAATGATCCACCACACTAAGTAGCACCAGGGGGTGGACCACCACCTTCTGCACTGCCAGCTCCGGCATCGTGACACACCCCGCACGCCAGGCTCGGCGCCCTAAGATCCGCAAATACCGGCAGCGGCAAAAACACCCGCGGATCCGCCAGGCCCAGCTCCTCCTCTTCCGGTTCGGCAGTCACCGCGCAGTCTTCTTCCGCTTCCGGAGTGCTTCGCGCAGATTGCCCGTACTGTAGCTAGGGCCGCCATGTTGAAGAAGGGAAAGGGCCGGAGAAGGGCGGAGCTGTCCTGACTTCTGCGGCTGGCGCTTCTCCGGACTTCAAACCTAAAGGGACACTGGAGATTAGACTGGGTTTGGGGTACCAATGATAGAGTGACTTTAATGTAGTCAGGGTTTTTAATGTGTCTGCAATTTGGCTTTCTGTTCAGGTTTTCCACTCTATCTACAAGAAAGTTAGAGTTCTAATCTCATAGTTAGAAACTCAGTGTTATCTTTAATGAGAAATATATAGTCATGTTAAGGGAAAGAGAACCGTGAATTATCGAGTTTATCTATTTCTATAATTTGTCAGTCCTAATACAGGTATTTAAACATTTAATCCTTTGAATTAATGTTTCTGAAACTTTGATTATGCTTATAAATCACCGATAGGTCTTGCTAAAATACAGATTCTGATACTGTAGGGACAGGTTGGGACCTGAAGTTCTGTGTGCCTCACAAGCATTCAGGTGAAGCCTATGCTGTGTTAATAAGGCTTGTAACAACCTTAGGAAGTAGGTATTTTGTTGTTTTACAAATGAAAGATACTGCTCCCAAGGTGTGCTTTTACTGACCACTTTGTTTAAAATTCTATTTTTTGCCCAGTAGCATATGCTTATAATCCCAGCTACCTGTGAGACTGAGGCAGGAAGATTAAGGTCAGCCTAGGCAATTTAGTGAGATTCTGTCTCTAAATAAATAAAAAGGGCCGGGGATGTAGTGCAGTGGTGGACGGTTTTCAATCCCCAGTACTTGAAGAAAAAAAAAAAAATCCATCTTTCTCCCACTACTTATCTCTGCTTTAGTTCTCTATGGAGTATTTACCAGTTTTGAGCAGATGGTGAAGTTTACCTATTCTCTCCTTTTCAGAAGATAAACTCTTGTGCAGTTCACTTTTATATTTTTCAGTGTGTTGAAAAGTGCCTAGCATATACGACGCACTCAGCAATTATTACATGAATGACTGATTAATTATGCAACTGATATGGAAAAAAATGAAGACCCAGAAATCAGAAAGGACCTTTCCAGGATTCCATATCTGGTAAGGATCAAGCCAGGTTTCTGTGATCCCTGTTCTTGTGCTCCTGATTACACTATTCTGAGGCAGAAGAATAGCATCTGTTTCATCAAGATGCTGAATTTCAAACTGTAGCAGTTGTATCTTATTTTACCTTATGTTCACATTGCAAATGTAGATTAAACAAGTTCTTTAGAGACTTCTTGGGAATCTCTAATCCTGATTCACTTGAAACAGTGTGACTTTGAATTTAAAATTCATTCAAGTTACGGGTGATCACTGTGGAAAATGGAGAATATTCAGATATAAGTAAAACCACCCCAAATCTTTCCACTTAGAGAAAAGCCCATTATTGACCATGGTCCAAACTGCTAAACCTCTTCTTCCAGGAACTTGGGTGTTAGCTTCCTAATTGATTTTCCAGCTTTCAGTTTGATCCTGTCCCATCTGCATTGCCCTCTCTGCAGCTGGACTTGTTTAAGAAACCCTTTAATGGAAAATTTCAAGCCTTCAAGAGTAGAGAGAATAGAATAATGAACCCCACAAACCCCCCTCACCCGAGCCCCCAGTTCTTCTCCTCAGAGCTGGTCACTGGTTACTGGTTACCAGTTTCTGGTGAATCCTTCAGGAAATTAAAAAAAAATATGTACCTTTCGGCAACTTTGCACATTTAAATGGAATTAGTTAAAATTCTGAACAATGAAAATTTTGTTAATCATGTATCACCAAGACTTTTTGTTTTAAAACAGCAATTCTAGGTCTATATCATGGATAGATGCATAGAATGGATTGGATTTAGGGGCCCAGCTATAACACCACAACCTTGCAGCCTTTGTAAACCTGGAATGGGCAAAAGCTGTCTCAAAGGTGTGTCTAGAATAATTTTTCCTCTGTCATATAACTCTTTTCCACTCTAAATTTGGTATTCTTCTATAAGGAGTGTCTCTCAAGTTTTTCTCAGTATTCATTTAACAAATATGTATCAGTTACTAACTGTGCCAATGTTTTAAGCACTAGTTACACAGAAGTACACAAAGTTCTTTGAACTTGTGGTCTTGTGGAGGGTGATAGACTGTAAACAAATAATAAATATAAGTCCCATATAATATCCTATATATGGTAGCAGGAGCTATGCCAGTTCAAGTCAGAGCTGCTTGCCATGACTTGCTGTGGTGGCTCCTGACTCTGAGCTTCAGTGTGTGACTTTTTTTTTTTTTCTGACCACTAAGATTAATTAGCAAGTGTGATGCTGATAGAGGATTCAGAAATATTCCTACTTTTCTGCTTTCTGTCTTGAAATGCTTATTCTTGGAACCCTGAGCCATCATGAGAGAGGTCTGTCTACTTGGCAGGAGAGACCACATTGAAAAGAGGAGGAATGTCTGGGGCTGGTTCCCAGCTGTTCCAGCCATTTCAACAGAGATGGTAAAAATGTGAGTGAAAAAGCTCTGTGGATGTTCCAGCCTAGGAGATGCCACACGGAGCAGAAGACCTGTCCAGATGAATTCGACCCAGAGTGTAGGATTCTGTGAAATAATAAATCAATGTTGCCATTTCATGTCATTACATTTGGGTGTTTTTTGATGTAGCAGTAGGTGACAGAAGCACCAGGCAATTTTTGAAATCTCCATGAACCTAAGTTTTTTGACAATACATTATCTGCCACTCAAGGCTTTTTATAGAGTAGCTGCTCAATAAATGCTGTTTCTGGCATTTTCTCAGTGTGCTGTGCTTCTTCCACTTTCTTATTTGAGGGTTATTTAGGTCTGTCACGGAACATTAGTCAGCTCAAGTGCTATACTCTGAAGTTGAAGAGATTCCTAAAGTAGGCAGATTTTGGAAGCTCACTGGAGCATGGAGAAACTGGAGCAGCCATCTGGCAAAGGATAAACTCTTGACGCCTCTGGCATCTTTCCCTAAAAGTTTGCTTTCTTTTTCCTCCTTCTAGGAAGATAGGCAACAGAAAATAGCATGGGCTGTAAGTTAGATACAGATTTGAATTTTGCCTTTCCTATTTACTGGCTATGTTATTTTAAATAGTTGACTCATTTTTCTAAGCCTCAATTTCCTCCTTTGTAAAACAGGGATGATAACAGTGACTGACTCACAGGTGTGGGAGCCAAGATGGTGAGATGACTGCTCTCCTGAGCAGAGGTACATGTCAGACAGTACAGGCTGATTATCCCTAATCTGAAAATCTGAAATCCAGAATGCTCCAAAATCCAAAACTTTTCAAGTGCTGATGTGATGCCTTAAGTAGAAAATACCACACTATGAAACTTCATTTTAGGCATAAAATTATTTAAAATATTGTATAAAATTACTTTTAGGCTATGTGTATGAGGTATATGTGAAACATAAATGAATTTCATGTTTAGATGTGGGTTCTATTCCCAACATATGTCATTATGAATATGCAGATATTCCAAAATCCAGAAAATCTGAAATCCAAAACACGTCTGGACCCAAGCTTTTGGATTAGGGATATTCAAGCTGTAGTGAGAAATAAGCTTTAACTGGTTGGACTGTAAAAGCCCAGAATTTTTATTGTAAGTTAGAAAGTGATATGATAAAATGGTATTTGGGGGAAGATTAGTCTGAGAATAGTATGCAAAATCGATTCAGAGGAGGGGAGCCAGGAATTAGGAGGCATTTCAAGTAATTTTGGCATGAGATGATAAAGACCTGGGGTGGCAGAGGGAACAGGGAAAAAAAAAAAAAGAGAGAGAGACCCACTTCAGAGAAAAAAATGGGGATTGAGTGAAGAAGAAAGATGAAGGAGTGGATGAGTGAAAAGCCTCTTCTAGGTCCATGACATCATTGCTCTCTGCTGATTCCCTCCTTGAACTCATGTTTATTTTTTTATTCTTATTTTTCGACAGTGGGATTGAATCCAAGGGCGCTTTAACCACTGAGCTGCATCCCCAGTCCTTTTTATTTTTACTTTGAAACAGGATCTTGCTAAGTTGTTGAGGGTTTTGCTGTGTTGCCAAGGCCAGCCTTGAACTTGCGAACCTCCTGCCTTAGCCTCCCAAGTTGCTGGGAGGTATGCGCCAGGCTCTTATATCTATAGTTTTTTTTTTTTTTTTTTTTAAAGTTTTTAATATGAGCATTTCGGCTAGCGTTTGCAGGCACGGTGAGTTTATACAAAGTTGTTTAAAAGTGGATGATACTTGGGGCTGGGGATTGGCTCTAGCAGTAGCGCGCTCGCCTGGCATGCGTAAGGCCCAGGTTCGATCCTCAGCACCACATACAAACAAAGATGTTGTGTCCGCCGAAAAATAAAAAATAAATATTAAAAAATTCTCTCTCTCTCTCTTAAAAAAAAAAAGTGGATGATCCTCTGAGGAAAGGAATTGTGTGTGTGTGTCTTTGTTCTGGGCTTCCTAGACTTGATAGCACTTCTCACTTTAAAATTTTTATCCCTCTCAACTTCATAATTAATAGATATAATTACTTACCTATTTTATGTTGGAGTCCCACAACTTCTCAGAAATTTTGACCTCCACGTCTCTGATGAATGACTGGGAGACAGACATGTGCTCTGAATCTTCTCCTCCTGGTGTGTTTAGGGAGTTTTTTTCCCCCTTCCATTTTGTTTTTTACTGGTGCATTATAATTGTACATAATGGTGGGATTTGTTGTTACATATTCATACATGCACACAATAGAACAATATGATTTGACCAATATCATTCCCAGGTTTTCCCCCTTTCTCTCTCCTCTCTGCCCCTGGTTCCTTTCTTCTACTCTCCTGGATTCCCTTTGATTGCCATGATAGTCTCCCTGCCCCACACCTTTCTTTCCTTTTGCCTCTAACCTCCATATGTGAAAGAAAACACATAATCCTGGATTTTCTGAGTTAGGCTTGTTTCACTTAACATAGTGTTCTCAAGTTCTATCCATTTTCCTAAAGATAACATAACTTCATTCTTCTTCATGGCTGAATAAACTCCATTGTGTAGACATGCTAGATTTTATTTATACATTCATCCATTGCCAGGCACCTACGCTGGTCCCATGGTTTGGCTATTGTAAATTGTGCTGTTATAAGGATAGGTATTCATGTATCACCATAATATACTGACTTTAATTCTTTTTTAAAATTTTATTTATTTATTTTTATGTGGTACTGAGGATCGAACCCAGTGCCTTACAAGTTTCAGACAAGTGCTCTACCACTGAGCTACAACACCAGCCCTGAATTTAATTCTTTAGGATAAATATGGAGGAATGTTATAGCAAGGTCATGTGGTGGTTGCATTCGTAGTGTTTTGACAAACATCCTTTCTGATTTCCATAGTAGTTTTACTACTTTACGGAGTAAAAGTGTTCCTGTTTCTCTACATCCTCTTTAGCATTTTTTATTGTTTGCATTCTTGACAGCTGCCATTCTAAATGGAGTGAGATGAAATCTGTGTAGTTTTGATTTGCACTTACCTAATTACTAAAAGTATTGAACATATATTTCTTGACCATTTGTATTTCTTTTTTTTAATATTTATTTTTTAGTTGTAGTTGGACACAATACCTTCATTTTATTTGTTTTTATGTGGTGCTGAGAATTGAACCCAGGGCACTCACACATGCTTGGTGAGTGCTCTACTACTGAGCCACAACCCCAGCCCACCATTTGCATTTCTTTTGAGAAGTGTATGTTTAGTTCATTTTTGTTTGCATTAGTTTTTTTCCAAATCAGATACAAATCTCAAGGCCCTATTGGTCATTTAAAAAGAATTCAGCATTCTCCTGGGAATAGTCCTTTAGATTTTTCTATTACCTCATAAGAAAAGTAAAAAAATAATTAAAACATTCTAGTCCTTTATGAATCAAGGTTGATGACTTACAAGAAAACATCAGGGAATGAAAGATAAGATTTTTATTGGTAATATATATAGGCAAAAAGCATTTTAGAAAGATATATGTGTGTCTTTGAGCACTGGAATGTGATTATGCTATAATGAACTTGTCTATCCGTTTTAATGTATGTAGGTTATTGTATGTATGTAATGGAGGTAACCTTTGGGAAATTATTAACATGCTTTCTGTCTTTTGCTTTTTCCATACAAAACATTTACTCAAGTTTTTTGGAGGCATCCATCTGTGGAGAAGGTATGTATCAAGAAGTAAGTCAGAGAAAATATTTAACTTCAGACATGAAAAATAGAATTATTCAACAAATTAATAGTTTGGAAAACTAGGATGTTGTCCTCAGAAATAATTCTCTAAGTCTTTGTATTCTTGTTTCCATACTAGGTTGACATTCTCAGTTTGTAGGTCTTTCTACAGTTTAAACAAATGCCCTGCATATCACTAAGGCTTAGTTGAAGTCAGTAAAAATGAAGTAGGATGTGAAGGAGTTAAAACAAAACCCCAAAACCATTCCCTTTCCTCCCAAGGGAAGCAAAGAAAGAGGAAGAGCAAGGTTGTTTGATGTGAGAATTTTAGTTTTCCTTGTTTGGGTTTATCTCAGAGAGCAGGAGGTATGTGAGATGGATGAGGGTACCAGAAGGCCAGGAAGAGTTTCTGTCTTGCGCCTTGCTTGGGACTCTAGAAGATCTTAGATTGCTCTTGTGTCCATTGGGGCACGGCTCTGTTCATTTGACAGCACAGTGAGTGCAGTGGAACGAAGACTCAGGTTTGGCTGCCCACAATAGCCCTGGTTACCATGTTGCATGGACAGGACACTCAGATAGCAAAAGTAGATGGCCCTGGTGGTGGGGGTAGATCTCTGCTCTGCCCCTAATTCTACAGCACAGGATGCTTGAGACTGCTCTAACCAGAATCGCACATAAGTGGCCTTGTCAGAAATGTGGATGCCATCCTAGATTTTCTATTCCCTTTTCACAGAAACACAATCACCTATAAGCTCCTGCTTGTCACTTTCTGTCCCTTGTCTCTTCTAGTTTCCTGATGCATCACCTGAATGCCAGCCGTAGTGGAAGTTCCCCTGTTGTGCTTGCTCATACGTGCCTTCATGCCTTTGCACACGTGTTGCCTGTGTGTGTGCAGTGTCCTTCCCTCTGTTGTGTGTATACAGAACCCCTAACTCATCCTTTAACTCTCAGTTCAGGAACATCTGTGAGGACCTTGGCCCCCAAGACAGTTAGACTCCAGCACTTCCCTTACAGTCTTCTTGTGCTTACAGTCTTAGCCAGTCCCTGTTTGTTTGTAGACTCCCACAGTGGAATGAAGGGGAGGGATTTTGTGGTGTTCAATTTTTTTTTTAATCTGCTGTGGTTTGGATATGGTTTGAATATGTTTCCCGTAAGTTTGTGTGCTAAAGTTTGGTCTTCAGTGCGAAGATATTGAGAGAAGATATGAACGGGACTTTTAAGAGGTGGGGCCCATTGGGAGATTAGGTCCCTGGGGGCATCATCTTTAGAAATTAATGTTGTTCTCATGGCGCTCTGGTTAATTCCTGTGAGAGCAGATTGTTATAAAAAGACTGAGCTGGGCGCAGTAGTGCATGCCTGTAATCCCAGAAGTTTAGGAAGCTCAGACAGGAGAATCGTGAGCTCAGTGCCAGCCTCAGCAATGGCAAGGCTCTAAGCAACTCAGTGAGATCCTGCCTCTAAATAAAATGCAAAATAGGGTTGGGGATGTGGCTCTGAGGTTGAGTGCCCTTGAGTTCAATCCAGGGACCTAAAAAATAAAAAACTGAGTCTGGATCCTGAATCTCTCTGGCTTTCCGTCTCATCCTATGATCTCTCCTCTACCCCACCATTGTGATTACATCTGCCCTGAGACCCTCACAAGAAGCTGAATCAATGGGGCTTTTGTATCTTGGACTTTTAGCTTCTAAAAGTGTGAACTAAATAAACCCTTTTCCTTATAAAATACTCAGCCTCATAGTATTGTATTAAGACAACGGAAAATGGACTAAGACAGTATCTCAAGGCAGGCTGATGTCAAATATTTAATGACTCTTGGTCTTAAGTGTTTGTTGAATGAATGAATTTAATAAAGCCATGTTTTTAGAAACTTTTAATATTTTTATGTTTTACTTTTGATTGTTCCCAGGAATGTAGGTAAATTAACATTAGTTTTGCTAAGAGACTTGTGCAAACTGTGCTGATTTTTCAGTCGATTCTGAATGTTTTTAATCTTTCCTTACCTTTGAGGAAGCCTGAATGATTCCATATTTGGCCTTCAATTTGTCTACTCTCCTCTGCTGACAGTTCAACCTCTTTAAGGGTAGGCTTTCTGTTTGGCTGTATATGGTATTGTACAGTGGTGTGGGGCTCTTAATAAATATAAAAAACATGAAATACCAGTTTAAAAATAATACTTTGTGAATACTCAAATACTAATATGAAAACATTACTAGATACTTCTTCAGAAAAAAAGCCCTGAAGGAAATTGATCAAATTATTAACAGTGGTTGTCTTGAAGTAGTGATAACAAGTAATGTATTTCACTTTTTTTACTATTCTGTCTTCTAATTTTTTTCCTAATAATGTTTTCAAATGAAATCACTGAAATTATGTTTTCCTGTTAGAAGGGTGATAAAGGATAGTGGTTAATAGTGTAGCATTTTAACATCCTAAACTGTAAAAGAGGGTAGTGATACAAAGGCTAAACATACTAATATACCTGTGTTTTAGTCAGCTTCTTGTCAACATGACCAAAAAACCTGACAAGAACAACATAGAGGAGCAAAAGTTTCTATTAGCTTCAGTGTCAGAGGGTCAGCCCACGGTTGGCCCACTCCATTGCTCTGGGCAGGAGATGAGGCAGAACATCATGGTGGAAGGGTGTGGTGGAGGAAAGTAGCCCAAGGCATCGCAACAGAAAGCAGAGAGTGCTCTGCTCACCAGGGACAAAATATAAACCCCAAAGGCATGTCCCCAGTGACCCACCTTCTCCACCCACACCCCACCTGTCTACAGTTACCACTCAGTTAATCAGTATCAGTGGACACCTCATATCTGAACCATACCAACGGTATTAGCCAGACCACTCTTGATTGCTAGTAGTGGGCCCTACTCTGATGAGTTAAGACACAAAGGAAAAGTCATTTCTCATCTGAATCCAGAGCTTTACATGAAGTGTCTCTCCTCACCTCTCAGCATCCTTTGGTGTTTTGGCTCCATTTTCAGATCAGTTTCCTACTAATGACCAGGAAACAAATGGCTACAGATAGTTATAGGTTTAGATTTTTAAAGGGAGGGAGACCTTGAACGCCAAACCTTTATTTGTGAAACTTAATTGGCCTTGCCAGAACTGGGGGCCATCTCTAAACTAGCCATTGTGCCTAGGGGAATAGAATTTTTCAGTTTGGAATCAACTTCGGGATGGGCCAACTGGAATGGATTAGGTCACCAGGATCACATGGAATGGAGAAGGGCAAGGGTGCTGACTCCAGAAGGGGGAGTGAGAGTGGGCAGTCAGACAAAGCCTATCCTGTGAGGTGCATAATGAGCTTAGCACCCTTCTTGTTACATGGTAAGAGCTTAACAGATGCTAGACATGGTCATTATTAGAGTGCAGAGGTTTACCTGTTATAACAGGTAATAAGAATTTTGTGTTTTTATTACCTGGTGTTTACTTATTTTTAGTAACTCAGCAGAACAAGAGGTGAAATTCACTCTTGCCTTTACCAAGTATTTCTTTATTTTTTGCCTCAGGTATTTTTAGTTGATGAAAATTGTGTTTTTTTACAGTTCCTTTCTCTAAAAAATTGCACTCATGATCATTTTAATCTTTCCAATGTCTGCTTGTTGTAGAAAGACTTGATTTGTTTAAAGAGGTTTCCTTGTTTCGTGCCTTACTGCAAGTGATGGCCCTATATGTTGGCCTTGGATACTGACGTAGCTGTTATTCCTCTTCCTGTTGTCATATTTCATTTAACTGCAAATTAAAAAGAACTGAAAAAATTACAGCAATTTCTAGTTCACGTCCAGGAAATAGAACTCTCTGCAGGAATCCTTACATGGTACAAATATGTTAGAAAATCATTTCCATTGTGCTTGGAGGGCCTGGATGGTCACCATGGAGCACAGTTCACCTCTCCCAGCTGAAGCCCAGACCGACCGTAGAGCGGAGACTGTAGGAAATCTCCCATCTGAAGAGTTAATTTTCTTTCAGGATCAGTGTTGGAGGCTGCTATGATTAAAACAGGACACTTTAAGAAGATTGATATAGGAACATTTGTAACAGCTGACTATAAAAAGAAAACCCAGGAGGTCAGGTTCAGTTTTGGGAGCCACTTTGACTTGAGTCTTACAAAGCCTTTATTTTGAATTTATCTCTTTCTCCCATTGCACAAGCTTTTGCTTTACTAAAATTGATCCATTAAATTAACATAAATAAGCAAAAAACCCCCTTTTTTTTGGTGCTAGGGATTGAATCCAGGGACCTCTTATATGCAAGGCACTTGCTCTACCACTTAGCTAAGTGCCCCTGGACCATAATTTAGTTAATTTAATGTTTTAAGGTCACTTTAAAAAAATCGTTGTTGCCATTTTGATTCTTTTCAGAGTTGTTATCCATGATTGTATAAAATTAAACAGTTTTTTTCCTTCTCAAGTTTTACCTGACTTTTAGATGTGATCTGTGGATTTGGTACCAAAACAAGTTCAAAGTTTGAAAACAGATAAAGTTTTTCATAACTTTAAAGAAGGAGATGTTTTTCCTTATTTTCTTCAAGATAGTACATGGAAGAAACATTTATTGGTAATTTGAAAACCTGAGCAACAATATTAAGTGACAGCCACTGGATGAAAACTACAATCAACCATAATCCTGATCTCTAATGTGGCGGCTAGTTTCTGGGGCACAGGCACACACTCCTGATTTGATTGGAGTGTACATTTAAGCATCATTTTAATGCAATTAGGAAAACTATTGAGAGGGACTTTGAAGCCATTTAAATCACATTGAACTTGGTGTACTTCATGTTGTGAGTATATTTAACAACATGGTATTTAATAATACCATGTATATTTAATAATATCATGTTGCTAAATATACTGTTTGCTAAGAAATTGGATCTGAATCCTTTTCACTGGACATAAAAATTTAACTATGTAAGGTAATGGCTATATTAATTATCTGATTGTGACAGTTATTCTACAATGTTTGTGTATTTCAAAGCATTGCATTGTACACCTTAATTATATATGGTATTTATTGGTCAAGTATACCTCAGTAAATCTGAAAGAAATAGAACAATGTTTGTCAAAAGTAATGCTAAATTTTTGCTCTTTGCAATAATAAAAAAGGGGGAAAATCTTTTAAAAATCAGTACACTGCTCATATAACTTAGGAAATGTCCTTCATTTTCACACAGAAATCAGAAGAGAAGAAGGAATTAGTATGGGCTCTGGTAATGCCTCGTTATCCCTGACATACTCTCCATTCTTCTAAATTTCTGCAGTTTGTTTCATATCTTAGTAATTATCTGCTGTTTTTTATCATCAAGATTATTGCAGGTAATAATCAGTAATCAATGTCAGAGCTATAAAGTACAAACCAGCTTTATTTAGGGTCTTAGGATTTTCAATTTTGGGAGAACCAGATTTAGGTAAAACCAAATTGTGTTCTGAAGAGAGAGAGCAATCGGCTTGGGTTGAAGAAGGAAAAAGCCTACAGATCTGTGGCCCACAGATGGCTGATTCACTTGGGGTCATGGCTGCAGGCAGCTTGATTCCGGGTCAGTACAGCCTGTGGAATGGTCTCCTGGATCCATTTGCTCTCTCTCTGACCAAATTGATTCCATCTTAGATAGACTTTTCCATAATTTTGCAGTACCTCTTACCTGCACTGTTCCTGCACACTGCCCCCCCCCCCCCCGCCCCCAAAGCCAGGATCTTCACACCATCTTCCTCATTGCTGGCATTTTTACAACCCCCCGCAAGTGAAGTGCTTATGTTACTTCCTTAAAATTTTATTAAAGCCTTTCTAATGCCTACAGGATAAAAATCTGAATTTTAGGAAAGTATCTGGGACCCTTCCCAACCTGATCTCAACCAATCCCTTGGCTTCATTTCCTAGGGAACTCACCCTCTGGAGAACCGATCTGGAATTTCAGCCATTTCAGTTAGTTGCTCCTCTGTGATCATTCAGGGACCCCTTACACCCCCAGAGCTTTCTAGGTCTTTCTGAGGGCTCTTCCCAAAGGTCATCGCTTTAGTTGCAGCTTTCCTTGCCCTCCCCAGGCATCCTCTAGCGGCATAGCACTTTGTGCATACCTCTGTTCAGTTTGCTAGCAGTGGTTCATTATATCTGTGTCTCTTCTGTCCTCTGTGTGTATGTGTGAAGGCAAGGACCACAATCTTATCATCTGCACCAAGTAAGAGTCAGGCATTTGTTAACCATACTGTGTGACTTGGGTATGTTACAAACCACAATATGTCCATCATTGATTCTTCAGCATGCCAAAAAAAAAAAAAAAAAAAGAAAAGAAAAAGAAAAAAGATATTCTCTGTCATTCATTCTCTCTCTCTCTCTGTCTCTCTCTGTTTCTCTCTCTCTCTCTCTCTCTTTCTCATACACACACACACACCAAAACTCATATAAAGTGAGCAAAGCTCTTTGATTAAAATTTTCTTTTGTCAGTGCATGCAATTTTGTATGTACCGATTGTTTCAAATACAAATGATACATGTGGCATGTGAGTAAAAAAAAAAAATAGATGAACCAATAAACCTTTCAAAATCAGAATGGTATATTCTGGGGAACTGTAATTTTTGGAAGGTACTAGGCACAATTTTAGGTTAGTGTCAGATGACCTCCTCACCTTCATTTCTCTTAACACCTTTTATCATAATTTCTGAAGCTCTGCTTTGTAGCTGGAGTTAAAAGTCCTGAGGCAAGCTCTTCAGAACTCCAACATCTGCTTAGGGCTGAACTGGCAGGGGGAGAAATTGAAAAGCAGTGGAGAGTCTTTTTCAACAAAGTACTTAGCATTTTAAACAGTAGATGTGCTTAAAAAATGGTAATGATAGTATTGGAAACTGAAACTGCCTCATGCAGGTAGAGAAATGTGAAACTGTTTAGTGGATCCATACCTTGACTTCTCAAAAACCTTTTACAAAGGCAGTTCAAACTTGGTTTTGATCAAATTAAACTACTAAGAACGTAGACTTTTCCTTGAACATAGATTTATAAATCTCACCCCCTTCCCTCGGACATCAAAGAGAAAGGATTCAAGGCTTTTAGAATCTCATTTCCAATATAGCAAAAACCCTAGAATAATATTTAGAAAATTAAGAAGAGAGTTTTGAAATAACTAAATTTTGGTACTCATTTGCTATTTGGTACTGCATATAAAATACCATATTCTAGGTTAATGGCTATTTGAAAAAGTGTGTGTATATTTAGCTCTTCCTGATCTCTATTATTCCCACGAATTTCAAGAGCTTTTTTACAATTCAGAAGCCTCTCATGGATTTTTTCCAGGTTGTATCTTTAATTTTTGCTTTTTGTTCTGAAACTGGAAATTGTTTCATGTGTTTTTCCAGCAGAGGGAGACATCTGACCATGAACATGGTATTGCTACTTGCCAGGAGTATTCTGTAGCCCATTTTATCAATATACATAAAAAACTCAATGTTCAAATTAACTAGTTCAATAAGTAATTTAGCTCATTGATTTTTGGGCATATCCTAAGTGCCATTACAAGCTACGGATATTTTAAATGCCATTACCTAATAGAAGGAATGTTTTAAGCACCTTTTATTGATTTTATTACTGCTTTATTTTGCTGTCTTGGTTTAAAATCATTTTAACCACTCCGTAATCAAGAAGAAATATATCGTTGGTGAAATACAGTCAATTTCCTAAAAACCTTTGACATCGTTAAATAAGGAATTACAGTTGTTAAATCATGTCAGGCAATAACTGAGGGACAGAAGAGATATAAAATTTGGAGCAGTGGGCCAGCATACCAGTGAGCTGCCCTGACCTCTTGCATTCAGATTCTGCACGTGCCAGTCACACTCAGGTTTGCTTACAGTTTTTACATCAAGAAAGATTTAAAATCCCAGGTAGCAAGGAAGGTGGAAGAAAGATAACAAAATGTGATCCAAGGGCAATTACAGAGTTTTTAATGACCTCTTGTGACTTTCCGTTAAAATGATTCTCTAAGCAATTTTGTAATTTCATTTGCTTTTCTTGCTAGATTATAGCATATTGATATTCTGCATAAGAGGGAACTGGGGCACTCACAGTTTTTTTTTTTTTTAACCACTTCCTTCTTCTGCTCATTTGATTTTATATTAGTGGTATTACTGAGCTGATCAGCTGAGAGACAGACGGGGAATATGGTCCATATACTGCTTAATCAAAGAGGTACAGAAGTGGGTAGTGAGCACTGAAGCTCAATACAAGCCCGCTAATGAGTTGATTGCATTGACATTTGATGTAATTTAACTGTAGAGTGGCAAATATCAATACCTGTATATGATTTGGCAGATGGTTGTTGAACTGTGATTAGAAGTTTAGAATGATTCCTGGTAAAAGACCACCTGGCAGTAACCCAAGAGCAGAGAACTGAGTTTTCCTCATTAAATGGACTAGGTCCAGAAAGTCAAGTGTTTTGATCATTAATAGAATCTTTCCTTTTCTTTTAGCAAATGTTAGCTTCAAGAGGAAATTGATAATTATGCATGGGTCTATTAAACGATCTTAGGGAGAGCTTTTTTCATTCCTTCAAATGAGCTCATATCTACAGTTGCAGCAATTATTCACTGTCAAGGAAAGAAAACTAGTTAAGCACTGATAGGCATCATTTCCAATATGTTGGTGAGGCTGGAAGCAACTGGATGAAATTAATCTATTTGAGGCTGAAAACCAGGTTTGTTTGTAACACAAGTGATTATTATATTTTATAAACTTGTAAATAAGTTGTAAGAGGAAATAATTTAAGCTGTATTAAGCACATGTTTAGGATATGCAAGATGCTGTTGTAGGTGCTCCAAGATGACATCTAGCTTTCCCTCAGCAAAGGGTGACATGTACAATGTATGTCCCATAGGAGGGTAGGAATAGGGATCCAATGTTGTGGCTGCATAGATGGGAGCCATGGAAAGAGGAAATGGCAGGAAAGACCTCATGGAGGTGTCATTCGAAATAATCTTGAACAGTTGGTAATGGATATTTAGAAGTAGACTAGCTATACAAAAGCATAATATACTTTCAAATATTTGGGAGTGAGTTTCTTAAAAAATAAAGATCACTAGCTGGGTGTGGTAGCATACACCTGTAATGTCAGTGACTTGGAAGGGTGAGGCAGGAGGATCACAAGTTTGAGGCCAGCCTCAACAACTGGTAAGAGACTGTCTCAAAATAAAATAAAAAGAGGGCTAAGAATGTAGCTTGGTGGTAGAGTGCCCCAGTACAGAAAGA